TTGTTGGTTGTTTGAGGTCTTATGCTTTTAAAGTACAACTAATCTAGAAATCTAAGGTTAACAGTAGTTAACAGTAATTAAAAATTTCATTTTGCATTGATACCATGCTGAATTAGTATTGTATCCAAATACAATCCTAGTTCACATCATAAAATATCCCTTTATAAATAAAGTGGTGCTCATGCACAATCTTACAAGTTTCGTGGTCATTTCTAAAACTATAGATTCATTAATCCTCTTTAAACCCACCGGGTCGCCGGCGACCGGTCAATGTTAAGTGGGAGTGATAACTCAGAATGCATAAAATTCCACTGGTAATTTTTTTTTTCTACTATAGACATGTTAGACATCATTGGAAAGCTTAGATTCTCCCCAATTCAACCACCAAGATGATTTTATGGACACAGCGAGCACCAAAGTACAATTAAAAAAAGATATAGCTGCATGTAAAAACGTAAACAAACAAAGCAGCCATAAATACATACCTTTGAAGGCATCCAGGAGCCGTTTTATAAATCCACTCTTCAATTGTTTATACTCTTTTCGTCCATAAGGGTCCACATATTAAAAGTAATCCATCATATTTGTAATAAAAATATTCAATGATAAGAAAATTGGCCATAACCTCCTGTTGTTGACATCAGAAAGGTTAGCAGGTCATAGCTGATGCTCAGTATCTTGCTAATATTTACTTCTAATACTTATTCCCATGGTTTTTAACCCTTGATGTTTTGGTATGGTTCTTTACATCGTCTTCTTATCTACAAGATACAAGTGTCTGCATATTTTTATGACACGATTTGAGACAGATATAAGCGTCCAGAATGCTCACCTCCGATTCACTTCCGGTTCACTTCCCGTCAGCCGGTGACGCGCGATATAATTGACGTTTTAATCTATGTTGTTATTGGTTAAGACCACATGGGGTGTTGGGCTTTGTAGCCAATGAAATAAGGTTTCGATTGAGCCCAAATGTGTATAGAATATTTAAAGGGGTACCGCCTTACAGGCTTGTGTTAGAGAGAAACACAGACACCAGCAGGTGGAGCCATTGAACGCAGCCCCAAGCTGACACCAAAAGTTCCAAAACCCACAGCTCTGGAACTTTTATAGCTAGAGGTCTGAATTTCTCTGCATTTGTGGTTGACATGATGCAAAACAAATGTAATACAATGAGACCTGTCTTTTCTCAAGAATGTCTTTATTATTGCTGTTCAAAAAAGACCTATAATTTCCAAGAATAAAAAAACAACTTTGAGTCATGTTTGAACGGATGCAGCTTGGTCTGTGTTCAACTCACCCAAATGTAGATATTCAGAAACTAGAGGGTGTTAGCTGAGGGTGTTAGCTTTCAAATAATGTATTGCACATGTAATTTGGGCTTACAGTTCCTTTGTTATTTGCTTTTCCATTTGGGTATGCAAAATAGGCGAGGACTACCCAAAATGAGGTGGATGTTAAGTAAATGGGTTGTCTAACAGAGGGAGAGAGAGGTGGTGAGCATCAGTTACATTAAACAGTAGTAGGTTGGAGGGGAAATTGCTTATACTCATTTTAATTTTAAAGTCCCCTGAGTGCTCAGTCTTCATGCCAAAATTAGTCGCGACCTGATTTAAATAAACATTGTTTCTAGTCTGATTTTTCAACTTTGTTCTGAGTTTCAGTCACCAGTCTTCAGGCGTGCTTAAATAAGAAATTACTAAAATTCCTTTGTCTCTTAAGTATTTTCTCTTTAAGCTTCTACAGTCTTTACAGCTTATGCCAAGGGACCTTACATGCATGTCTAAAATGTAGCAGTAATCAATAAGCTACTCTAAAATATATTTTAATTGCAAATGAGCACTGTTTGAAATATGCCAACTTGTCTGCTGCAGTGAGTTTAGGCATCATATCGCATGTTCCAACAAACAACATGCCTACAGGAGTGTTCAAATCCTCTCTTTGCTCTTACTCTCATTGTCTTTGATCATAATTCCCCAGTAAACAATGTACAGCATGTTATGATTTCAGTGAGCGATGAAATGTAACACACTAAGGTCCCCCTTTAGTTTTGTAAGAGCTTAATTTGGAAGTTAAGCGACAAGTTCAGTCACTGAGGTGACTATGTTTCCTCAACAGAATTGTTTTAAGCATTGTAAATCCAAAATAAGTCAGTAACAACAACAACAAAGCAAAACAATAACATTTATTTATTGATTTATAAGTTATACATTTCATGATTTATTAGCGATATACTATTATTGGCAAAGATACTATAATCCAATTGCATTTCTATACATAAATACAAAATCTGAGGTAGGGCCTCAATAATTGATGATGAAAATAAATAGATGCATTTCACATTTATGATATATATTTTCTATTTTTTTACACATCACACACATTTTAAAACATGATTTTATAATATATCTCATCTCAATTTCTAAATTAAATGAATGTCATGGGCTGTTGGAGGCACATATCTATATCCATAGGCAGCAGTGCCTCACAAAGGACACACAGAAATATATGACATTACTCAAGTAATTAGAAATTTAACCTATGCACTCATAGGTCACACAATAAAGTGCCGAAAAGACACAACAGACATAACAAGAGGAGTATTAGTAACATATGAGACAAACAGCTATGCTGTGGTGTTCACTTTGAAATACATATAATAATTCTACTTTTTCGAGAACATCTATAAGGCCAATGGTTACCTGAAGATGTATTGTAACATATTGGCAAACATCGAAGAACAACTACATGTTAAATGGGTGGCAGTATCTCGATTCCTATACGCAGATGAAATGTTCCTTTTTATACTTTTTATGTTCTTTTCAGATATAATCTTACATAGAGTACTCATTCTTTGGTTACATACACTGCCTAAAGGTGACTTATAGGCCAAGAGAGTTCTGATGTATATATAGCTTTATATGTTTTTCTTTTTTCTCTTCTCTAACTGACAACCCTCACATTTGTATCTTTATGTTAAACTAAAGAGTCCCTAAAGTAAACATGCACAGACTTCTACTGTGAGGAGAAACCAGATTACTACAAATGGACATTGAGATATAGCAACACAAAGTGCACATGCAAGCTCCTCATTGGATATATTTTACAAATATGTGTGGTTTGAACAAAGCCCTAAGCGGATTATTTTCTTCTAAAACCAAAGACAAAGAATCCCCATACAAATGGTGACACAGGGACACAAAATGTATATGTATAGATTCCCCCTCTGAATAAAGTATTTTATAATTCAGATCTAAAGGGTTTTATTTTGAAAGTCTTGCAGGATTAAACTAAATGCTATTAAATTGGACACATGTTTTAATCTCTGATTAGTAGAGAAGCCATTGTTTTTTTTTTTGTTTTTTTTGGAGAAGATTTGTGTTTGAAGTCTGCAATATTATATGATTTCTCAAGTTTAGAGGTGATCCATAACGATTCTGTCATAGTAAAAAAGATTTTTTTTCTATAAACTGCCGATAAATCCTCCTTTCTTATTTCTACAGTCTGCTCAAACCAGTCATGCAAACATTTGATTGACATCTAAGTGGACACTCATTAAACATACAGCAACAAACACACACACATACAAGCGAAAAACAGACATACATTTTTTTTTTCTTTTTATCACAAATAGACCTAAATGCACGACATAGTAAAAGGAACACAGTGCAGCAAGCAAGCTATTTAACATTGGCATATTTGTGCTCATTAACTGATTATGTCTTGATTTCAAACAACCCTTTACTTAGTATCTGTGCTATTTTCATGTCAAGGTCATGAAAAGACATGGCTTAGAGAAGAAGAATTGAGAGCCTTAAAGGTTAAGCAGTTGTTTTTTTCATTCTATGTGAAAAAAATTCCTCATTTGAAAACCTGCAGGGATAAAAGCATCATTATGCCAATCATGACTCGGCTTAAACTTAAAAATAGTTGGTCAAAGGCAAAAAAAGAATAATTCTTCATTGTGAGTATATACCGTTTCTTTTCAGTTAATAGGTTGGCAGCTCTTTTAAGTGGCCTGCCATGATATTTCAAGTCCAATCAGCCATGGAGCTGCACTTTTACTATGTTTTTTAAAACCATAGAAAGTCACTGACATTAGTTCAGTTATGTTAATGATGTTGTAGCATTATTATTCTAAGGAAAAAAAGTGCTAAACCTCATTAATCTCAGATTGAAGGATAATGGCATGACTGTGATAGGTCTAGAAATGCTTAAAGCCTTCCACTGTTTAAAGTGAAATTTACACTATAGAGGACTATTGCACAGACCCGTCCTTTCTGCAGTTCATTACAATCAGTCAAATTGTTACTTTTAAATATATGTTGATAGTTTTTTTTTTAATTGCACAGTGTAATAGTGGCAATGCAGTTGTTTAAAACACAATAGGTCACTTCCCATATACCAGAGTCAAAGAAATAAGCTTTTAAGCAAAAAGAGCTAAATGTGAGCTTCATTAGGAAAGGTTCTCCAGGAAATAATTTTGATACAAATCTTTTCCAGTTTGGTGCTCATTGTGATCAAACACAACAGAGGATCTATGATCCTTTTCATCGGATGCTATTATTCCCGCAGCTACAACAGTAGTCTGACGATTATACCTGAGACCCTGTTTCAACGAAGACACACTGAAAGGCAAGATGTTTTTAGATAACAATGACGTGTCCATTAATCTACCACAAACATTAAGAGATAAAATGTAGTTCCTCAAGAGAGCGAGGCGATTTTCTAGTCTAAATCTTAAATTTGCACATAACATCTGCTTCTATAATAAGGATGTGACATTACACACGTTTTACTCAAGAATATTTTTTAAGAGGATTGGATTTTGTACAGACATCCCACTTTCTATGTCTTCCTTTATATATTATATATATATATATATATATATATATATATATATATATATATATATATATATATATATA